CCGCCCTCGCCCCGCCCCCGCCCCCGACCGCGCCCGCGCGCGAAGCGTGATCGTCCGCGTCACGTTCAAGGGCACGACGCGACGGGGCGGCCGACCCGCCCTCGCTTCACCTCGCCTCGCGCGTTGCTTTTGTTGCGGCAGGAGGCAGCGCCGCGCGGGTATATTAGGGCGGCGGAGGGTGTCGTCTGCACAGTCTTCAGCAGCAACAGCAGCCGACGCCATCCTCAGCATCATGAGCAAGTTTGTGGTGAGTGCGCCTTCCTTAGCTGCTCCGGGGGGGTCGATGGGCGTTGGGCGGCCCAAAACCAAACACTGGGGGGTGGGGGCGGTCGAAGGGAGAGTTAGTTTTTGAAAAGTACCTTTTTTGTAATAGGACATAAATTTTAGGCGAAGTTCACTTCGCGGTATTCGGACATCTTAGGCAGGACGGTGAAGCCAAGAGACGGTTTTCAAAAGATACTTTTCTTATGAGAAGCAAATTCCAGGAAAATATCACTTGGCGACATTTCAGCAACATTTGGTCTTCGGAGATAGTGTCGAGACTAGCTTTTTGAAAAAAATTATTATTGTTATGGAAAACAAATGACAGACGCAGTTCACTTTGTTAACGCTAAAACTTAATAGATTCAAAATTTCTCTCTGAATGGAAAATAAAGAAAAAGTTTGTCTTTGATTGGCAGATTAAGAGTTTCTTCTACTGGGGACAATAAGAACTTGACGAATTATAAAGAAAGGATAGTAACGAAACTAATAATCTTTCAAACAAATCGGCTTGGAGGTATTGGACTCATATTCGTATAAAGAACGGGGTGTTTGTAGAACGCGTTTTTCACAAAATATCTATCTTCTCCACGTGTTATTAAACTCTGACTTAGCATCACTTTTAGATGCACGGAAATTCAGTACAATATTTCCAGATCGAAATCTGAAATGATCATCGATAGTTGCAATATGCGAGAGAGTACGTATTTTGGTAGTGACTTAAGCAATCTTATATCTCAAAATTTGGCAGCAAGGAATTCTTATTTTAATACAATATAACTTTTGGAGCTCTACGGTAAAATGATGTTACTTAAAATGTTCGAAAATGGTAGAGGTATTTAAAATGGATCTCATTTCATCATTTGCAAAGTTAAAATCTTCAGTAGATTCATTTTAAATTATTTGAAATTCATCTCCTGAAGACCAATTTTTCAGCTTTGGTGCTGTTAGAGCTAATGAATTCTTGGAAGAACTCTCTTGCACGCCGACGCAGGACAAACCGTTGCGCTTTGAAGTAGCGTCCTTGTTGGAAGACAATGGATCACGCCTCCGCCAATCTCCTCGTAATGAGACGAGTGATCCGCTTTAGAAATCAGATACTTTTTTGACAAGCGAGATGAAGCTGCTTAAGTCAATGGAAACTGAAAACCGATGAGGAATTGATGTTACTAATACGATTTTCTTATAATATATTTAATAAAACGTCAAGGTTTGAAATTATCATTATGAATGTATGTTCTTTGTAGACTCTGTCTAGTTTTAAAACCACGAATTTGTTAAAAACTTTTTTTACTTAAATGACTGGTTTTTAAATCGGCGTCTTTCTCGTTAGGGATTTTTGACTTACAAAATCTTCACATTGTTAATTGCACATTCATCCCTGGCAAAAATTGAATTAAAAATAAATCGATATTTGAAGTTGACGTTTGTCGATAGATATTACTTATAACCATTATTTTTATTATATATGTTATTCGTGATTTTTAATAAATTCTAATACCTTGACATTTTTTAAAAATAGATATAGATAGATCTGTTTGTATTGGTGGGCAAAGAGAAGATCCTCGAAGCGGTAATACTTTGGATGGTCAAAATGGAAATGGATGTGTGGGATGGCCATGAGTTGACGTCATTGTTATGTGAACGACATGAGTCTTCTCTCTTTAGATTTGGCAAGGTTTAGCTCTCCTTGGCGAACTTCCCAAAGTGTTGAGGTGATGTTCTGAATGAAACATGTATCAAATACTTTCTGGCCTTTTTGGCTGAATTGGTTCTTTTCTCAACTACTGACAATTACAATGCCAATATTTGTCTATTTGTCCTGCATTATATCTTTTAAATTTGCGCTAAAACATTCATTTCAATAGAATTTATTCTTTGCAATGTGTGAATAGAACACTCGCAGGTAAAAAGATGCTGATGTACAAGCAACAACAAAATGATTTTCTTCGTCAATGATGTAAATCCAAGTAACGCAGCCTGCTGACGCCTTCTTTTTAGGTAATTTCGTTAAACGTCATTCCACGTACATTCCCAGAGCGTACTCTATGCTTTGGTTAGTAATATTGAACAACGTTCCTTGGAATCTTACCTACGTCTAGATAATATTTCTACAATTCCATACTTTTCCTGTAAAAGTGCGTAGTGTTCGTATACACGCCGAAGTAGCTTTTGGCAGGCAATACTTAACAGTGAACAAAATTTACCGGCTATCCTGCACAATTAACCTAGCTGAAGGGAATATAATGTAATGCAATAACTGAACAAAGACGTACACTGTCGTAGTGTAATAGTTAGCTGAGCGTCATTCTTATTTCTCAGAGACAGGAGAGAGGGGCTTCACGTGTGTTTGTCCAGTTTTCTAATCACGTGACCACAATGATGCGCTGTTGCGATGCTCCGTTGGATTGAGAGAAGAGAGATAAAGAAGGGTTAAGAATGATAGCTGCGGAGTACGTGGTCGCAAGCCACATCACGGGACTCGAACCCCCACCCTTCGCTTCCGCGCGGCTCGAACTCTTTTGCATTCGTTGTGTGGCCAGTAACGAGATTAGCCACGCCACCTCGGTAGTCGTAGATGTTAATATTCCGATTTTGGTCAAAGTTTAGCTTATCTAGTTGTTCATATTTACGACGGACTTGGACCAACAACAAGGTAAAACACACTTCGATTAAAATCGAGATGCAATAAAACTTACTCAATGCGGAATCTCAAGAGATCAGTATTGTTTCGCATTAGACAAGATTCCACACAATACAATGTAATACTGTAGAATTGAGGGTCGTCAGGACTGCGTTGTATTTGTATAGATTGTATACATTGTATAGATTTTCGTATTATAGGAAGTATGTGCTAGTCTTATTATAGGAAGGTATGTGCTAGTCTGAATATAGGGAGTGTGGCTCATCTTGCTGTTTTCCCAAGCCCTTCAGTTGCATTGCTGATTTCTGTTCTCCCTCTGTCCGCAGGTTCTCGTCGTGGTCGCCCTGTGCGCCGTGGTGGCGGCCGTGTCGGCCGTGCCCTTCCCCTTCCCCGCCGGCCCCGGGCCCGCCCCCGCGCCCAAGGAGGCCCTCAAGGGCGCGGAGCAGGTGTACTACGCCGGCTACGGCGTGCCCGCCTACACCGGCTACGCCGCCTACCCCTACGCCTACTACGGCTGAGGCGTCGCGGCACGCCGCCGGCCGCCCATGACGGACCCGCTCGCCTCCGGACCTCGCTCCACGGCCTCCTAGCCTGACCCGCGCCGGTGCACCGCGCCTATCTCTTCACTACGTTGTGCCATCTCCACTATTAAACTGCTCTTTCCAATAGTTTATGCTCGTCTTTTATTGTGTTTAAGCCCCGTTTCCTCGCCCTTTCCTGAAAAAACACCCCAAACATTGTCTAAGGTACAGAGGAGTTACTCTAAGAAGGAACCATTTTGACCGGCTGAGAAACAAATGAATGTCATGCATCGCAATGACATTACAAGAGATAATGAACAAGCTATTTACAACTGGGCTAGTGGTAAACGAACGCACTGTCAAAATGGGCGCATAGACATAACCTGCAGTAATGTTACCAGCAGTGGCCAAGCAGTACTTGTCACAGCGGTCCCTTCTTATAGGAATATCTCTAATTAGAGCGTCAATTGTCACCGCAGTGTCAACTGTTGACCGAGCGGCCCTAGGGTTCGAGCTCCGGTAATGGCGGTTTTTCGACACTAGCTACGCAGCTAGGTCGTAGACAGTCGCTGCCTGAAGGAAAATTAAAGCGACCAGCTCCTTTGATTGGTAGTTTTCCATGGTTTGTTGAATCAATATCAGGCGAATGCCGGAGCAGTACCCTAAAAAACAGGCCACGGTCCGCGAAGGATCTTTCCATCCCATTCCTTGTCCTATTCTCACCCTTTACTTACACACACACATACTCTTGCATGCACTATACTACCACATATGCCGGGAGACTAGTCAGAAGCTTAGAGTTTGTCTCTGCTAGAGCGATGTCGCGTTGTAAGGAGATATCTAGTTGAGGAAATATCCCACGTGCTGGTCGGCACCCAATGTTGCCTACTAGAGGGCGAATATTATTAGCAGTTGATGCAATGGGATCATTACACATTAGTAGTTTACGCAAATAGAAACACAAAATAATCAAAGACCCAAAATCAAAACAAGAAAATAGAAAACATTCAAAACAGTGAAGAATAATACATGGAACTCAAATCTTGAATAATACTGATGATAGAATTTTTTCCGTAATAAAATTTTTGTTTTCTTAAAGTAGATTTAGAAATTATGTAAATGAATATCTTTGAATTTTTAAAAATTAATTACAAATGCAAATGATATTTTCTTAACGTTAGGAAGGTGGAGTATAGCAATGCGACTGGTGGTGTAGAGACAACGTGTATGTTTGTGTAGATATAACGTGAGTGTTAAATCTAAGGTCCTGAATTCCGTTCTGAATAGAACAATGTATCACTACTTTCTGGCCTTATTTGGCATGAAATTGGTTCTTTTTCACTTAGAAATTACATGCCCAAAATATTTGTCTATTTTGTTCTGCATTAGTTTTCCTTAAATTAAATAGGCGATTACAACACATTCATCTTCATAGAATTATTCTTTGCAAACTGGTAGGAATCGAAACTCGCAGGTAAAACAAGATGCTGATCCGATACCAACAGCATACACAAAATCGATTTTCTTCGTACAATTGATGTAAAATCAAGCTCAACGCAGCTCGCTGAGCCTTCTTTTTTAGGTAATCTTCGTTAAAGCGTCATTTCCACGTAATTCAGAAAGCGTACTCTACTGCTCTTGCTTCAGAAATTTGGTTAGTCAATATTGAACGCACGCTTCTTGAGAATCTTCCATAGTCTAATATATTTCTACCAAAAACATACGTATTCCTGTTACAAGCTGCTAGATAGCTCGATATAACACGGACACGACAGTAGCCTTTTGGCGGCAACTACTTAACAAGCGGACAAATTTACCGGCTATCCCTGCAACATTAACATAGCTGAAGCGAATATACACAATGAATGCAATAACTGAACACAGACGTCTCTAGAGTAACTGTCGTAGTGTAATCCAGTTACGCTGAGCGTCCCATTAATTATCTTTCAGAGACAGGAGAGAGGGCTCATCCACGTCGTGTTGTTCGCTTTATCTAATACCAGTCGAACAATGATCCCCGCCCTGCTTGCGCATGCTCCGTTGGAATTGACGAGAAGAGAGATAAAGAACGGGTTAAGACTGATAGCTGCGGAGTACGCGGTCGCAAGCCAATCAAGGACCACGACCACCCCACCTTGCGCTTTACTCGCGCGGCCTCGCAGCTCTTTTGCATTGTTGTGTGGCGTCCCCAAGCGAGATTCAGCCCACACGCCACGCTTAATATCGGAATATTACACATCGGTAATGTAGATGATAAATATTCCGGTTTCTGTAAAAGTTTGGCTTATATAGTTGTTCATATTTACGCACGGACGATATGACAGGTAAAATATCCTCGGATTAAATCGAGATGCAATACAACTTAACTTTTTTACGGGATCCAGTATTGTTTCGCATTAGACCAAGATTCCGCACAATAGAATGTAATCATTGTAAACATTCGAGGTTTCGTCAGGACTGCGGTGTAATTTGGTTCGTAGATTTGTACTCATTGTATAATCGATTTCTTCGCAATTATAGGACGTTAACTTGTACTAGCTCTCGTAATGGGAGTATGGCTCATTCTTGCTCGTTCTTTCCCAACCTTCAGTTTGCTTGCTGATTTCTGTTTTCTCCCCTCTGTCCGCAGGTTCTCGCGTGGGTTCGCCGCCCTGTGCGCGTGGTGGCGGCCGTGTCGCGTGCCTTCCCATTTCCCGGGGGCCCGGGCCGCCCGGCGCCAAGGAGGCCTCAGGGCCGGGAGCAGGTGTAGTACGCCGGCTACGGGTGCCCAGCTACATCGGCATACGACCGCTACCCTACCCTACTACGGCTGAGGGTGCGGCACGCCGGCGGGGCGCCATGACGGACGCTCGCCTCCGGACCTCGCCACAGGGCTCCTAGCCTGACGCGCGCCGGTGACCGCGCCTATCTCTTTCACTACGTTTGCCATCTCCACTATTAAACTGCTTTTCCAATAGTTTATTGCTGTCTTTTTGTGTGTTTAAGCCCGTTTCTCGCCTTGTTCCGTGTAAAAAAACACCTCAAACTTGTGTCTAAGGTAGAGGAAGTTACTGCTAAGACAGGACCCATTTTGACGGCTCGAGAAACAATGAATGTCTGAGCATCGCAATGAAAATTAAAGAGATAATGAACAAGCTTTTACAATGGGCTACGTGTAAACGAACGCACTGTCAAATGGGCCGCATAGACATAAACTGCAGTAAAATGTACAGCAGTGGGCAAGCAGTCCTGTCACGCGGTCCTTCTTATAGGAATATCTCTCATTAGAGCGTCAATTGTCCAACCCCAGCAGTGTCAACTGTTTGGCCGAGCGTCCTAGGGTCGAGCTCGCTGGTATGGCCGGTTTTTCGACACTAGCTAATGCAGCTAGGTCCGTCGGCAGTCGCTGCCTGAAGGAAAATTAAAGGCGACCAACTCCTCTTTTTTGGGTAGTTTCATTGCATGGTTTTTGAATCAACATACAGCGACCGCCGAGCAGTACCTAAAAAACGGCCACGGTCGCGAGGATCTTTCATCATTTCCTTGTCTATTCCTACCTTTAACTTAAACACACCATACTCTTGCATGCACTTACTTGACACATTTGCCGCGAATAGTAGAAAGCTTAGAGTTAGTCCTGCTAGAGCGATATGCGGTTGTAAGGAAGATACCTATTGAGGAAATATCTACTTGCCTGGTCGGCCCAATGTCGACGATAGAGGGCGAATAGATATTAGCAGTTGATGCATGGCATCTTAACATATAGAAGTTGCAGCAAATCAGAAACAAAAATAATCAAAGACCCAAATCAAAAACAGAAAACAGAAACTTCAAAACAGTGAAGCAAGATAATGGAACTCACTATTGAATAATATTGATGATAAAGCTTTTTCCGGAAATGAAATTTTTGTTTTTAATTAAGTGGATTTTAGAATGTCGTAAATGAATATCTTTGAATTTTTCAAACTACAATGCAAATGATATTTCTAACGTTAGAGGGCAGAGTTTTAAGCAATGCACTGGTGGTCGTAGACGTGTATGCTTTGTGTAAGAATATAACGTGAGTGTTAATCTAAGGTCCTATTCGGCAAGCTTCATGTGGAGGAATTTGTTTTGCTAGCTGAAAAGCACTAATTCATCGTTCATGGAAGTATTTTAATATTGGTAAACTTTACAAATAATGCGGCGCAAAATACAGTTGCACACTAGTGAACTTTGTGTAATTGACACGCTTTACTGGCTAAACAACAATACTAGCAACTGTAAGCAAATGAAAATCGAGGGGAAGTAGAGTCCGGAGGTACACCGGGCGCGCAGGGCGCAGATTGAGAGTTAGTGAGAGACTGAACTGCATTTCTTCTATATTAAAATTTGTACGTGGATAAAAACTGAAAAACTATTGGAGTTAAAATAGGAACTGTTAAGAAGTGCTTTGCGTTGAGCTCTGGAGTTCGATGT